TACTTTTCCGCTTTACTCTCTGTCTCTCCTTTGGTTCACTTCTCTCGGTTTTCCCTCGCTTCAATTTCCATGTAAATTCTACTTTAGGGAATTCCATATATGCATATGCAGGTACAAACATTAATTCAAATTTCAGGGCTTATACAAATTATCATCGAATCAAATACGAAGCTTGAGCCAAAATGATATCTCTTTTTTTTCCTACTCGTTCTGTTGTCGCACCATCAGCAATTAGGAAAATTACAAAAGATAACTGTATCGCGGATAATGAATTAAAGTTGTGCGCCAATGCCATTATATTAATTCGGAAATGCAAGAACATGCTCGAAATTTCCTCTGAATTGTCATTCTTTTATTCTGAACGCATTCCGGCCGATGTCGGCTTAGTCATGGATTGGGTCATTGTTTGTAATCGCTTCCATTTGCCATGCGACTAGCAACCATTTTCAACTGTAATTTTATTTTAAGATTTTCAATAAGAGGTCGAAAGCAAAAAGAGAAGAAAAAAAAACATTATAAGCATATCAACGTCATTTCAATCTGTCTTCATTAATCATGAAAAAGATCGATTGTTGGAAACAATTTTTTCCACTCTCTGTTCTTCGATACGTGCATCCAAATGCTAGTCCAAATGTAGGGCTTTCAATTCAAAATCTTATAAGACGCACGTCAGCTGAAAAAAAAAATTATGTGCGATTGTTTTTTGTAGCTGCCACATGTTTTACTTTGTGTTTTTTTTCGTACACAACATTCTAATCGTTTGCTTGAACAGATTTAATATTGCAACAGCATGCAGTTTGTAATCATCTTTTTAATATTGTTTGAGTATTTGGGTCTGGAAAAAAGGCATCCCAAGAGAAATAAAGGGATTTCACATCAGAACACTCATACGTTTTTCGTTGATTACTCAATAATTCATGGCATTCATTTGGAATGGAGAATTTGGAAAAACCGCGAAGCAAAATGTGATGAAAATGCGATATCATTAATGCATATAATAAAGCTATGAATAATTCGAAAGCTTTCTTTTTGTGTGTGCCGAAAGAAAACCCAATTTAACGTCACATCGCAGATAATGATCGTTACCACGAACAAGTACAACGAAAATCCAAAACATACGCGCTCACGGATGTGAATCGATGCCGAAACTTTACATATGTGTACATAGATTTTCAAGAAACAAATGTACTCGGTGTACATTTTATTCGGAAGTACGATTGATTTCGTACATTTTCATTTCGAACCCCGTTTACGAATAGGATTCAATTTCCGTTTAAACAACCTTCGGAACAAAATTGAAACAAAATGATTGCGTGCTACATTTAATGAGATTTTGCTAAGAAACAAAACAAGAATGCTGTTTACAATCGTGCCCTGCAACAATGAAAATAATCCATATCAGGCGCATAATTTAGTTGAACAAACTTTGTTTTTGTATAATGTCAGACTTTTCATTCTCTGCCTCATGACTCATGCGGTAGTCTGGTGAAAACGAGAAAGATGATCCAAAATACCAATGTTTTTTTTGTCTCTTCAAAAGTAAATAGTCGTAACATTATCCGGCGGCGCAATCGAAATGCAAACATACAGAAGCGGCGAGACAAAGATATCGAATGTGTTATGATGATGTGCAAATGCTGAGCTCAAGCGGTGTTAATGCTAAAAAGAGCGACAAATAAATTGCCGATCAAAATTGAATAAACATGTTTGCTCACCACACACATTTTGACTTTGATTGGCATTAACCCATTAATTGCGAAGCGTTCGATTTTTCATGCAAAATGTTCGATTTTTTCGAATACTTGGCAATTAATGAGTTAATGCATTTGGTATGTAACGTCGTCAGGATATACAGAATAATTTTGACATACATATATAGTTCGTGATGTTAATCTGAAATGCTCTCTCTCTATCTCTCTCCGTGTTTGTCCCTCTTCATCTCACCGAAAATTTCCCATCGTTGCACTTGAACAACGCAAATCATAGCACACATGTACACTCACAAAATACGACAACCGGCCGCATAATAATGTAAAAAACAATGTAAATAGATGTTTGCCGGATGGCAAAACGTAGCAGATACAAGCATCGTTTGATAATACACGCAAAATCATTTGAATATTAGGAAGGAGCGCGCGCGCTTACGCTAGCGGTTGGAAGGCTTACATGAAAAATGATTGCTTAGCATATCATATCATGTCATTGATGTAACGCATACCGTCTACTTTATTTTGGGGAGGCACTTGAATTTTTTTTCTCTCTCTTAAGAGCACTGAGCGGAAACCTACAGGAAATGGCAATAATCGGTGAGCGAAGCAACAAAATCTCGCCAAAAACATGAACATGACAATGGCATTGTTGGAGAGAATGAAAAAAGCAGCCGATAACACACAAATACAACCAGACACACGCCACAAAGTGTACTACCTCCCCTCTATACATCTCTGTTTCTCCATCGCTCTTTTCCTATCACACAATTTACTTTGAGGTATGTGCATTGGGTGTTCGTAACAAAATACTTGTCGATCTTCAGCCTAGTCTTCCTATTGTGGTAAGTACGCGGCAATTTTTCTATCGTCGATCTTTGTTTATGCAGTGACAGCAACCATTTGAATGAAAAGCGATGCGATGGAGGAGGAGGCAGTTGGAAACGAAACAAAAAGCGGAAAAAAAATTCTTAGGACACTTGCGAGCGCTCTCTCTCTCTCTCAGGCCATATTTCGGTGAAGAGGTCGAATATTACGAAAAGCTTGGCACGCACCCATTCACACGCATACAAAAAAAGGTTTTTCATTGTTATCTTCATCAGCATATTAGAAAAAAAAATCTCGAAAAGAATGAACGAAAATTGAATGGGAAAAAAATGACAAGACATGTCACCATTCAACTATAAAATGTATTGTTGATACGCACACACACATTCTTTTCTGGCAAAGAAGTCATGCTTCTTCAATATTATTTCTTTCACACATCGATTGTCCGCAGAATCAACGGAATTATGAATTTCGTTAACGCAAAATGTTAATCATAAATTTGGTACCTATGTATGTTGGTATAGAAAAAGAAAGACAATTCTATCGTATCGAGCCATTTTCGTTTAAATATCATTGCTTACCATATGACAAATGCATAACATTGCACAAATTGTTCAATCTGGATTTAGTTGATAGTATAAATTACATGTACTTTAATTTGTATTGATGGCAATTGTGATATTTGGTGAAGAATCGATTCATTTACATCGTTCAAAAGAGACGATAATGGAGATCGATTTTTCCGCACATTCTCTTCAGCTGGAAAATAAAAATTGAATTGGTATATAAAATTACAATGGAAATCCTCGATTAAAATTGATAGCAACTCGTGCGGCTAGACTGTTGAATTAACACCTCGGACAAAAAATAGTTCGATTCAGGCTGTTGTTTCGGAATGTGATTTTTCATTTACCTCGTTTCGTTTCTTATTTTGTTTTTTATTGAGGCACCTTTTTTTTCGAAGGCTTAACTGTTGTGCGTGAAAGGGTTTCCGATGCGTGCTAACCAGATTTTCAATATGTTGTATTCAATTCGGTAACAATTGACAAAAAGCCTCCCGTCCAGCACATAGCAGTAGCAGCAGCAGCAACAACAAGAACTTACTATTTCATTGACCTATATAATATCGTTCATATGAATCATTGAATATTGAATCAATGAAAATTGTATTATTGTTTGATTGCATTTGACGATTTGTGTATATGACAGTGGAGAGAACCAGAGTGTGAGAGTGAGTGGATCAAATGACCAAATCGCATTTGTCTTAGTGTCAAAGAGGAGCGAACCATTTTTATGATATCGCTTTTCTTTACTTTTGCTACTTTTTTTTCTCTTGAAAAGCAAAAGCAAATATGGTTTTTTATGAGGTAGGCGTTTCCAATTCGGAATCCTTTTTTTTCTCCTTCGGCTGTTGCTAGAAATTTATCGGTGACACGAGCGGTATGTGATCTGAATAAAAAGGTTTCGGTTAAGAGAACTTGATAAAGTTTTTGTCCATCGAATACGGAAAAATTGCCGGTTCTGCACACGCCAAAGTGCACAACAAATATTTAGAGTGATTTTTCTGACAGTTGAGTCGGAAAACTACAACGATGTATATATATAATATATATGTAGGTACATTTAAATATGTACAACATGTAAGTTGTTTGCTCACAGTCAAAAAGCTCATTTCTTGAATGATAAAAAGGAACACGTCGTGGGTTTTGTAGGTTTCGATATGAATTTCGTGTTTATTTCTTATAAGAGATACACGCCAACACACACACACACACTGAAGTTTCCGCTACTCAAACCGAACTTTTCGTTGTTGTTCCACTTGAACTTGTCTTTCTCTCGGTTGTACCGTGTCTTCTTGTGTGTCATATCAAAGTGTGCAATCGTTTTATGAATATATGATAAATAAATGATGTGCTTGTACTTTGACACATGAAATATTGCAGTTGTGGATTTCCGCTGTAAGTACTGAGCATTCTCCCGCGTCAATTCACTGTGCACTGCATCCATTTATGCAACTTTTGCGGACGGAATTGTTGATGCACATTGGCTTCGATGTGTATTGTACAGGAAGGATTCTTGCCACGGTTAAACAAGACGCTTTTGCATATTTATGAATTTTCAGGTGAAGTTTTTTTCTTTGAAATGTGTGCAAGTGAAATAGAAACATTTCGCTGGCGTAAAATTTAGCTCTTTTGCAGGTGTAGCGCGGTGCAAAGGGTATAACTGACAAACTCAACCCCCCCCCATCGAATATTTTAACCGACAGAAAAAAACAACAACTAGATGATTAAACAGTGATTTAGTGTGCCAGAAAACTTTTAATTAGGTTGATTTGAATCAATTTGTGCTATTGTTCATCAAGATATCTTACAGAGATTGAATAAGTTGGATGCACAATTGCACACACAAACACTTGAAATTATAGTAAAAGTTCTAATATCAAAATCGTCTGTTTTGTCGTTACAGAGTGCGAGTGGAGTATTATGTCAATGAAAATACATTTAAGGAAAGACTGCAACTTTATTTTATAAAAAACCAGAGATCAAGTAAGTTTTAATTTGTGACTTTATTGAATGGTGTTTTGGTTGAAGGATAAAGTTTGCCGAAGAATAAGAACACATACAAAACGGTGCTGTGTTTACTTCGCATCGTTAGTGTCGGTATCGCTATCGAACAACTATGCTGCTAGCATATGATCATACTAAATTAAATGATGCATTCTCTCTGTCTCTCACTCACTTCCTCCTCTTTTCTTTCTCTCTCTCTCTCTATTTTTGCGTACAAAATTTGTGTGTTGCTACACTGCTGCGATTCCATGCGATGCGATGCGATATGGGGATTTTGTTGCGCTGCTGTTCACATTTTCATATTGCTCGCCGCTGAAAAGGTCTACGAATACGAATTGCAAACTTATTTTTCAAATTACTTACATGCGTATTGTATATTATTCGAGTTGTAACCGATTTAGATCCAACATTTGCCCATTGGTAAGTATTCTTTTGTGTTTTTTTTTGTATTCATACGATACAATATTTTCCCAAGCTATTTTCCGTTCTGTGTTTGGTCGTATTTTTTCGCCATTTTTATTTCATGTGGAAGTTTCCATCGTTTCCGTGGATTGTCGAGCTCAATTCGAGGATATGTGTATGTGTGATACTTATTCCATGAGTGAAATTTTTATCATCGCCATATTACTGACAATAAAAGTGTTCATCAATTCGAACATCAAATGAACTTTATACTAACACAGACTCATGTGAATTCGGAAGTTTGTGCTGTGTGTGTGTGTGTGTGTGTGTGTGTGTGTGTGTGTATGTGTATGTTCTAGTATGTGTTTTGTCCATTTTGAGTCCGAAATGGTGATTTCAGTTTCTTGTTGATCACACATACATATGAGCGACAATACCCGGAGAGAACGATAATTTTAGATTTTATTAGGATTTTCATTGTTTTATAATATTTCCCACATAAATGAGAAATTGTCTTGGAATCGTTGCAACTCTCTCGGTCACGTGATGCAATTATGTTATCCCATTCTTGTGTTCGAGTAATCCACATTGTTTTTTTTTTCTTTTCTTTTCTCTTTTGTGTGTTTTTTCTCTCGATAGTTTTGGCTGTACGCCTGGTAACAAAACGGAGTTTCTTGAATCAGCCACATTGACGGAGGAAGAGTTTCAAGAGCGGCCAATCATCAATTGGGATGCTATTTTATATGTCAGTCGACCAACTGAATTATGGGCAGTACAATTAATATTAGCATTAATATCATTAACTGAAGCGATGTTATTAACATATCTTGGTTATAAGGTAAGTACGAATAGAGTCATTCTACGCGTCCAGTTTAATACCCGACTAAAAATTAATGGCCGATTTCAAGATATAATTAATTCAATGATAAAATCAGCACTAAAAAAAACACTGATGCGATTATGCGGACGAGGGAGAATAAAGAAGACAGCAGTTATATTTGGAAATATCCAACGACCATTTGCACGAACCAAACCACTTTCCATGCATAATTCTCGTTTGTTGGCGTTGAAACGCTCATTTATCCTATAATAATCCAATCAATCGTTTGCGATTTGCGATGCAACTAACCAGCAAAAACCTAAATCCAATAAAATTCAAATCCTGACTCATTTAATGAACTGATATTGATGATTTTCTATTGCCAATCGCAGAATGTTCCTACTTAAAGCACCATCTCATTCGCTATCCATCTATCTTTTTATCTCTCTATCATTTTCTCTCTCTCTCTCTCTCTCTCTCTCTCTCTCTCTCTCTCTCTCCTTCTTTCGGTGGCGAATGCGCCATAGCGAGATTTCAATTGGATTCTTATTAAGTCGTTCGAAGATTTGAAAATGAACTGAAACAACACAGTCAGAAAAAGCCATGTGAAAAATAACTTTTGGATTTCGTTCGTTCAACGCTGACGCTCGTTCGACTTCTCCACAAACATTTTTCTGACGACAAAGTTTCCACATTGACGCGATGAGAGAAGAAAAAAAATGATTTTATTTAATTGTGTATCTGAATGGAACGAGAAAAAGTAAAAAAAAGACGACGACGACGACGACGACCTTCGTTTCATCAATTTATCGATTTATATCGTTTTTTTCTCACCACTCCTGTCGTCTCAATCGGCGAATTTCACGTAGTGTCTGACGGCGAATGGCGTGTGACACAAGCCGAAAAGCTTAAGTTAAATTAAATTTAAACTAGGCTTTTACGCTAAATCAACTCATTTATTGAAGAAAATTGATAATAATTTCATCGTTTTCCTTTTACCACTTGACTTTTTTTTCAGCCAGTCTTAACTTGGTTTTTCCCTTCATCTTTGCTCCCATTTTTGCCAGTCGCCACCGACTTTTTTCCTCATCGAATGAAATAGTCGAATAAAAAAGTCAACCCCGCTGAAAGCATGGCTATATTTAAATACGATTTCGATTTTTTTTTCTCGCCATACACTGTCTCTCTGAGATTTTAGCCCCACGTTCTTCGCTTGACAGGTAAAACGGAAAATAAGCATCGTGGTGACATACGTCACTGTCTCAACAACGGCCGACATACTTTTAAGATCTTTCACAGAAATAAAACATTTGTTTTATTTCGCATCAAGTCAAAAAGTCTTATGTCAACTTTTCTCTTTATCCATCTCATCCATGACGAATTTCCCATTCACATTGCCGGTGATTTGCCCAATAAACTTCGCGATAACTTTGGCATAATTAACTAATTTACATGTGTGCCCAATATTTCTTCTCTCCCTTTTTTTCGCCCATGGTTTTTTTTCCATTCCTCAATTTTTTTAATCGAAATTCACTTGTTGTGTTTATTTCTTCTTTTTCTATGTGCGATCATAGGGAAATATTTGGCAGCAAATTCTATCATTTCATTTTATATTAGAATTGGTGACAACCGTCCCATTTGCATTAACGGTAAGTACTACATTTGATTTTTTCTGATTTCAATTCATTCTTTGAACTGTAAGAGACGGTATTAATTCGTTTTTGTATTCACATAATTTCCCTTCGTTTCAGTTACTATGGCCTCCGTTACGAAATTTATTCATTCCAATATTTTTAAATTGTTGGCTTGCCAAACGATCGCTGGAAAATATGTTTGTAAGTAGACTGTTCAACAAATACGCTCTATTCTAATAAAATAACTGAACGGAAATTGAAATGTTGCGCCTTGCTGTGCACTCAAAACATTCGATTAACGTTTTAAATGATTCCCATTGCACGCTTCCACAGAATGACCTTCATCGTGCTATGCAGAAGTCACAATCAGCATTATCACAGCAATTGACAATATTATCGGCTACATTATTATGTTTAGTTTTTACCAGGTGAGTGTATGAATTAACCGCAATCAAGTCGCATTGATAAAGTGTTTCGTTTCATTGAATGGGACCAGCCGGACCACGTCTGCTACCTGTGTGTCCGTGTCCGTGTGTGTGTTTGTGTGATAAAGAGATACATAAATGTTGGGAAATGAATGAAACAAGGATATTAATTGCGCAAAAAAAGATACAAAGAAAATGAGACAGACACAGTACCAAAGCGGAGAGCTATCAGAATGTCTGTCATTAATGTCTTTCGGCATTAACCTTTTGAGAGTGCATAATTTTATTAATTATTTGCTACAGCACAGTATTCGTTTCTTTAACACCGATTAACGGTACGTTGAATGGAGCGAACGTGTTGCACGTCGCCTCATGCAACAGTTAGAAGAAGAAAAACGTTAGTGGGAACCGAAAATAAAAGAGACGAAATATTCGTACAAATGGAATATGCACCCAAAAACCAAGAACGGACAAGGGGCGAGAGTCTTTCTCTCTCTCTCTCTCTCTCTCTCTCTCTCTCTCTCTCTCTCTCTCTCTCTCT